TAACCTCGGTTCAGGGTCCACTCAATGTGGACATGCTAGTTGGAATTAGCAAAATGCTAATTCGAACTAGTTTTTAGGTCTAGATGCACTAATTCGAATTAGCTTATTTCAAATTAACTAATTCGAATTAAATTAGTTCGAATTAGTGCTGTAGTGTAGACATACCCATAGGCTGTGTCTAGACTGGCAAGTTTTTCCGCAAAATCAGCCGCTTTTCCAGAAAAACTTGCCAGCTGTCTACACTGGCCGCTTGAATTTCCGGAAAAGCACTGACGATATCATGTAAAATCATCAGTTCTTTTCCGGAAAAACTATGCTGCTCCCGTTCGGGCAAAAGTCTTTTTCCGAAAGAATTTTACTCAAAAGGGCCAGTGTAGACAGCATAGTACTGTTGTCTGCAAAAAAGCCCCGATCGTGAAAAAGGTGATCGGGGCTTTTTTGCAGAATCTAGATTGGCCACGGACGCTTTTCCACAAAAAGTGCTTTTGCGGAAAAGCATCCTGCCAATCTAGACGCGCTTTTCCGAAAATTCTTTTAACGGAAAACTTTTCCGTTAAAAGCATTTTCGGAAATTCATGGCAGTGTAGACGTATCCATAGTCTTTAAGGTGCCACAGGACTCCTGTTCCATTTGAAAATGTTCACTGACTTTTTTTAAAAAACAAAAATTCTTTTAACGGAAAACTTTTCCGTTAAAAGCATTTTCGGAAATTCATGGCAGTGTAGACGTATCCATAGTCTTTAAGGTGCCACAGGACTCCTGTTCCATTTGAAAATGTTCACTGACTTTTTTTAAAAAACTTTTTTCAACTAAAAATGAAATACTGAGCGGGAAAAATGAACTCCCCTAATTGTCCTCCTTTCTAAATCCTTTATATTTTCTCAAACTCCAATTTGCTGCCAGATAATGGTCAATTGAAAATTTCAGCCAAATCTTCCTTCATGTCATCATGGGGAAAACTTCATGATTCGAACGCTTACAGCAGTGGTTCTCAACTCATTTCAGTCCACGGACCACCAGGCCAATCAAAAAATTTTCGTGGACCACCTCCTTTTCCAGACATGAAAAAAAAGAGCAGACAGAAAGGTGTAAAACAGCCTAACGACAGCTCCTGCTCATGTCGTGTGACTTTGGACAATGTTCCTGTGGACCACCAAAAAAGTCACCATGGTCCTAGAGGCTCAATCTTGCCCTTAGAGTTACAATAATACTAAACTAATGGAATAAGGTATCACATGACCAAGAGGTCAAAAAAGACTTACTGCAAATCTTGAAACAAGCATGTTTTGCATGGTTTTATTGTAAAGTCATATGGGACAGCTGTTCCTCTGATAAGCAAGAAAGTTCTTGGTTGTTAACAAATATCTACAAAGGGAAAAGCAAAACAAATTCTGAAATGGTTTCAACACACTTTATTTTGTCAAGCAAATAATATTTTATGTATCCAATTAAATACCACTGTGTTAAACTACATTTTGTTTTTTTCTTTCACAAGATATAAGCAATATTCACTGTAATGACAGTTTCATCATGCTAGGAACTATACACATACATACACTTTTTTTTTTTTAAAAAAAAAGAGGGTTTCTGAATGAAAAACATTTATCTACAGTACCAAAGATTGCAAAGTACACATCGTTAAATCAGAATTTCAACAAACTTTACAAACTACACAAAATAAGAACAGCAAAAAAGTACACGTATGAAGTTCTTGACAGAGAACTTATTTTTAAATTTGGCAAAGTTATGTCTAGAAGGTGTTTCATTAAAAAAGGAATAAAATTATATACATTATTCAGTAATCTTCAAAATAGGAAGTTATTAAATAGCACAAATATCACAATCTTAAATGTCTATGTTACATACAAATGGGGATGTCTATTTTAAAAATTAAAAAATGTCTATCCTGTACATTTATGGCCAGGCCCTCAGAAGATGTAAATCTCTGTAGGTCTATGGACTTCAAGGAAGTTACAGCTATTTACATCTGCTGAGAATCTGCCCCCTAGCTATGCTGTACCCAGAGGAGATCTGCTAAAGTGTGGAAGGCAGTACCGGCTACACATTGGCAGAAGTTTGTTATGTATACACTTAAGTTTTCATGCAGCATAAAAATGTTAGTTTAAGTGTAATCCCTTAAACAGTCATACCATAAGAATTGTATGTGAAGCAGCTTTAAAAATATTATTTTATAATCATATGAAACTCAGAGCTATTCTGATTGTTTTAACTGAATCCCATATTGCCAGTATTCTGTTGAAAACAATGTAACTATCATTTTTGAGGCCTGATGGGGCCTATTAAAATATCACTATAGTCAACCACTCAAAGAATAAATTGAACACTTAAATACTTATTAAATGCCATATTTCACTGGAATCAATTATGAGCCTCACAACAGACATTAATGTTTTACTAACTGTGCAGTGAGTCTGCTGGATAACATTGGCAGAGCAAGTGTAGCATACAGTGTACATAAACTAATGTCAGTGTAGGAGGTAGTTTTGTTTTGTGGAGCCCCAAACAACTTTTTGGCTTGTAAATTAAGTATTGAATGATCAGAAAGTCTCCCATCCTACCCAAAAGATATTTCCTCCATTGCAAGACACTTGTCAAGCACTGATTTTCCTTCACTCATTTGTATTCAATCTTTGTAGACTCTACCCTGCCAGTTCTTGATCCTGACCCTGATCCAAGGCTCAATTAAATTAAATTAATGGATGTCTTCCCTTTGGTTTCCATGGGCTTTGGTTCAGGCCATTAAACACCAGTGTACATATCCACTAAAATGCATTTGGCCTTGATTCAGCAAAGCACTGAAGTACAGGCTCAGATTTAAGCATATGAGCTATCCATCCATTTGTAAACAAAGCATTTGAGTGTGTGCCAAACTTACAGTGAAATATGAGTGAGTCCCACAGATGGCAATGGGGCATAAGCCTGGGCATCAGTAATCTGCAGAATCAAAGCATATTCCCCATCTCTTCTGTCACTGAAGTGCCCGATCGATACTACTTGCATCAGTTTGAAACCAGAACAATGCAAGTGTGGCAGATTCTGCATCACACTAGTGTAAATCTAGAATAATTCTACTTGCTTCAGTAGACTTTTCTCCCAATAGATACCAATAGGCATGGGATAAGAATCAGGCCCAAAGAACTCCCACTAACTATTTAAAAAACCATACAGTGAAAATAATAATGGGTAGAATAAGGGGTTCTCAAGCTTCATTGCTTTGCGACCCCCTTCTGACAACAAAACTTCACATACATTATCCCAGGAGGAGAGATTGAAGCCTGAGCCTACCTGAGACCCACTGCCCTGAGTGGGGGCAAAGCCAAAGCCTGAGCCCTACTGCCCCATGAAACCAATGCCCAAAGGAAAAGCCCTTGCCCCATTGCTTCAGCCTCAGGCAGGAGGGTCTGTAATGCAAGCCTTGCCACCCAGTGCTGAAGCCTTTAATCTGTGGTTTTGGCCTGGTCCCCAGCAAGTATAACTCCACCCCGGTGACCTCATTAAAATGGGGTTGTGATTCACTACAGGGTCCTGACCCACAGGCTTCAAACGGTTGATATAGATACTTTGAAGGCATCACTTTATTAGAAGTGCTGGATTTTTTTTTAGATCATCTCTGGGGTTAGAGGTTATTTTTCCTCAATTCGTAATAAAATTATCTTATGTTGGTTAAATATCTCATATCTTTAATTAGCTTATTTTGTTGCAGACAGCCATAAGATGTCACTTAGCTAAATATGAAATTCTGTAGTGCTAGCTGTGACTAATAACTGTCTTATGTGAGCAGTCCTACTGGATTGCAAGAAACTTCTCACATATGTAAGGGTAGCAGGATCAGCCCCTGGTATTTTGCATATGATTGAAAAATGGTGATTTTTTTTAACCAAGCTGAATGGATGTACGGACCGAAAAACATCCACCTAGTTTTCAACCAGTTCTATTATCATGTTACAAATTATCACTTTCATCAGAGTTGGTGGTGATTTTTTTGAATAATTTTTTTTTCTAAAAAATGTTTTTTGAAAATGAAAATTGCCCACAAAAATCTAGCTTTGAAATGTTCCTTTTATGGGGAGGGGACAAATTTTTATACATTTTTTGCCCCTTTCTAAATCTTCCTTTGTTTCCCCTTTTCAGCAACTCCTACCAACTGGGTTATTTAAAAGAGGGAAAGGATGAAAGAAACGGGAAACATTGAAAACTGAGAAAATTTTGAAATAAAGTATTTTTGGATATGTTATTAATGATTATTTTCCCTTACGTCTTTGAACTTGCTCTAACCTTTATCATTTGGGATATTATAAAATAAATCTGTGGTTCTAGTAGTTGAGGAAATGTAATATACATCCACATTCTGCTCACAGGAAGGTAACATTTTCAAAAGCACCTTGTGACTTAAATACTTTTGAAAACATTACTTATAATGTCCTCATGTTGCTTACAAAGCTATGCAGTTTTATTAGGCCAATATGCTAGTTGAGGTTATTATGAGCAGAGATATTTGTAAATGTAATCTCAAAATGTATTACAGCTCATATTATGACAGTAATTAATGTTTCCTGAAGTATAAAAGCATTTTTTTCTCCTTTTTGTCCTGCTTTTACTTTAATGTTACTTTCAGGTTTTTTTCTGTACTATCCACTTCTACTGTACTTTTCTTTTGCTAGCTTCTTAGCTACATGCACTTATGTGACATGTACAACAAAATGAAACTGTAAACCCAACATAGAACCGTAAACAATTAGAAACTCAGAGACTTAAATGCAGTGAAAGAAACACATGAGCATCTCCCATATCTGAACATCTACCTTAACCTAAATGGTCTCTTTTCCCTTCTGTTCTGTTTAATCCCCAAACTGCAAGTTAATGCACTGTTTTTTTTCTTTTAAACTATAAGTAAATATCAGTATATCAAATGGGTTAAGGTAAATATTCAGTTTTGCTGATGCAATAGGGGCCTACAAGTGCTAGTGAGCATCACACAAAGAAAATACTTCTTGTATATTTGCTTGAATTAATTTACACTGCATTTTACTGGGAGAAGGGTCATTTCTCAAGCTTGATTTACTAGTTTTTTTTTTAATATGCTCTCAACAGACAAACAAGAGCCCCTGCAGGGAGAACAAACATATATGCGACTACAAATAAAAAAAAATTAAGATCCTGGTAATTGATTCCTTCTGTTCCTACTTTTCCTGCTGTTAATCAGGGCCTTTAACTTGCCATAATCCCCTCTCATCTTCTGGGATTCTTCTCCATGCTGCCCTTGCTGTCTACTGTCTTTGCAGTATTGGTTAATCATCTGCATTTCTGAATGGGTGAAAGCCCCAATGAAGTCCTTTGGATGGAACTGCAGTGCTCGGACAGAGCTTGCCCAGGTCCAGGGGGACCACTTGTCAGTCATGAAGGCCACCATATCTGAATCTAACACTTTGAAATTGATCTTTGCTATGGTTTGCTTGAAGCTGTTCTCTGTTGCAATGCAGTGGTAAAGTCCTCTATCAGTATCCTGGACAGAGCGAATCAAGAGTCCTTGCTCAGTTGATATGATCCTTTCATTAAGTTTGACCTACAAAAGGCAAAATAAATGTGATGGGCCAGTTACTTAGACAAGACACATATAATATCTTTGGGTAATTCTCTTTTTAATGTGCTTGCTCTGTGGTGAGTTTTTCTGAAATGTATCTTTATTGTTTCAACAGTTACTATTAAAATTTGAGATGATCAGGCCATAGAGATCAACGTAGGCTCCTGGGAGGAGCCACATAAGGCAAGATCTTCAACCACCTCCAAAGAGGGTAGACACCTGGAGGTAAAGAGACCAGCATTAGAAATCTGGTGAGCCTGCCCACTATCGTCAGAGTGTTCTGCTAACATCTGTGGAAAGGAAAATGGAGCCTCCAATACCGGTGGTTGTTGACTCACTGGACACTGGGTGGCTTTGTGCTAAATGCTTTATTTGGACACTGGCAATGGAAGGCAATTCTATGAGGAATTATATACCTAGTCTAGATTCTAGAAAATGGTGTAAAAGTGTCTGTAGGAACAATGTTTTTCTGTATTGAGTTTTGCAGAGTTTTGGAGACATTTCTATAGCACATTATTCAATTTAGTTTCATGCCTATGACAGTTGATGAGGGTCTTTTTATTTCAAGGTATTTCAATGTTGTGGCAAGTCACAAGTTGGCTGTGTCTACATTGACATCCCTTTCCGGAAAAGGGATGCTAATGAGACACATCGCAATTGCAAATCCGCGGGGGATTTAAATATCCCCCGCGGCATTTGCATTTACATGGCTGCTGCTTTTTTCCGGCTTGAGGATAAGCTGGAGAAAAGTGCTAGTCTAGATGCGATTCTCTGGAAAATAAGCCCTCTTCCGGAGGATCTCTTGAAAGTAGGAATAAGAGATCTTCCGGAAAATGGCTTATTTTCCGGAGAATCGCATCTAGAAAGGCGCTTTTCTCCGGCTTATCCCCAAGCTGGAAAAAAGCGGCAGCCATGTAAATGCAAATGCCATGGGGGATATTTAAATCCCCCGCGGATTTGCAATTGCGATGTGTCTCATTAGCATCCCTTTTCCAGAAAGGGATGCCAATGTAGACACAGCCAACGTGTGATGCTTTTTAGAAATCTCCATCAATTTTTTCACATTGAATTTCCAGTCCTGTTCCTCAAGCAAAGGATTTCAGAATTCAGAGAGTTTCAGTGTAGCTGCAAAGAAACAACCCTCTGATCCTTTTGTGCTTCACCCGTTACTAATTCTAGCATGTGCTATCCCAACAGAACTGCAAAACAGAAACACAGAAAGGGACTCAGCTACAGTGCATGCTTTTTTCTTGAGTAAGGAATAAAGAATTGAATCTATACTACTAGTACAAGGTTGAGTCTTCGCTGAATATGTCTAAGAAGCAGCATGTTTAATAAACACCTTATTATCTCTCTCTCTTATTTCATAGCGTGGTCTGACATTAGTGTAATATGTTCCATTATTTATATTCCATCACCTGCACCATGTTGCCATCTTATTCTTACAACAGATGTTCTTTTTTTTTTCTTCAGAAAATATTTGCCTGAGATTTGAAATGGAAATAACTTTTCCTTTTTGTATCACTCAAGAGTGGCATTATTCTGTATGTTCAAGTGCTGAAACTTGAGTACCTTGGAGTGTGCAGCAGTAATGGAAAATGTGATTACACCACAGTGAGGAAAATGCCTGAAGCCTTAAGCATTTTTTGCTTGGGCTAATTTCTTAGGAAACCTGCCGAATTTCCTCTTACTCTCCCTTTTATTTTCTCCTCTGCATAAAGGTGCTGCTGTACCCAGACTGAGCTCTTTGATTTGACACATCTTGTTTCTTTTATGCCTACTTCCTCAGATCACCACTGTGTTCTGACTGTACCAATATTCCCATTACAATCATCTTCTTCTGGAAGAAAGATTTTCTACTTGGTGTTTTGAATACGGTTGTAGGCTGGGGTTTTCCATGGAAATTAGGTGCCCAGCTCCTATGAAAAGTCAGCTGGAGTGAAGTGCCTTATTCACTTAAGTTCCTTTCAAAATCTCAGCTAAAATTCATAAGGACAGCTGGCCCGCCTCATGTCAAAACACTCAAATATGTTCATGCAACTTTCCTAACCTACTTCATCAGAACCATCCTGTCTGAACCGCCTGACTGAATGCACTTTCCCCCCTTTGATTGATTGGTGGTGCTGAACTGCATTACTCACCTCTTTCCTTCGGTCATTGTCTTTCTGTAAGAGCCATTTAATGGATGCCTGGGGAGATTTAGGGCTGCACTCAAGGAAGGTGGTGTTATTTTTCACACCATACTGGATAACTTCTGCGGCATTTCTGTATGCTAGGAAGCAAGAGAGGGCAGATAAGACCACTGTACTTCAGGTGCCTGATTCTGACTTGGAAAGCAAACATTTACGTGTCAGCAAAACTAGCAACCAAGGCTCCCTAATCTAGCTACATCGCACCCAATGTCAGACTCGCTAAACTGAAGATGCCCAAGAATCTATAATTGGGGTAAATACTACAAAAAGAATGAAGTTTGGAGTAACTTCAGGAGAAACCAATCTTCAAATATTTCTGCTCTGGACACTATGGTGGCCAGATAGCAAGTGTGAGAAATTTGGCTGTGGGTAATGGGTATCTATAAAAGACAAATATTGGGACTGACCCTATAAAATTGGGACATTTGGCTACCCTATGAAGCACGGACTGTGCTGAGAAATTAGGTCACTTTCTTGTGGGTCTCTTAGCAAATCCTCGGTCAAATCCTGGTTTCTGTAGTCTAGGAATAATAAAAGGGCACAGGGAACTTCCTCTCTCCAGTGTTCCCAGGCAGCAGCAGGCCAGGGCGTGATCCTAATGCTTTCTGTAGCTCATTGGCAAAAACTAATAGCAAAAATCTCCAGCAGCTTGAGATAAGACAGCAGATGGAAGGACTCTGAATTCAAGTGGTATCCAAGTCACAGTACACCCTGGAGCTATTCCTGGAGTGGGGGTACAGCTTACACATCACCCCATATTCAGGGCTCTGCCCAAAAGCACAATGTAGCCCCAAATGATTTTACAATTCAAAATAAGCATCAGGGGTAAGACTAAACTAGGTGGGTTTAAAAGACATGGGCAGGAGTGTGTGGGGAATGATTTCCTTCCAGATTTCCTTTCTGATGACCCAAGTCAGTACTTCCAGACTCTCATTGCATAATATCATGTAAAACAAAAGGAAAGGCTGTTAAAAACAAACAAAAACCTATCTCAGGTTTGGGAAATGACTGTGGTTTTTTTGCTGCTTTACCAGTAAACCACATGGCTGATGTGAAGAATGAGTCACATGAAGGAAAATTCAAGTGCTCTTTAATTGTATCATCATCTTTCAATTATAGTACCTTTCAGGTTAAATCCTCGGCACTGAGTCATAGGATTTCCATGTCTCACATCTTGTCTGCGACTCCGCCTGAAATATTTGGGAAGTACAAACTATTAATCCAAAATAGCCATATTGGAAAACAAACTATTCACCAAATTATATACTAGTATCAGTGGTCATGACTTAACTGTAAACAATTCCATGTTTTGCAATTGGCATGCATATCAGACCATGATTTTAGTTCTGTTTAAGTCAGTGGAAGTTTTCCCACTGAGGTCAATGGGCGCAGAGCCGGATGCTAAAATTGACCCTATTTATGATAACAACAGATTTTTCTGAACCTCAAAGAAGGTGAGCTGTATTCAGACTTCTGAGAAAGGGTTTGTATTGTATCCAAACTGGCTCATCTATTGTTTACTGTCAAACGGTCTCTGTTGTACAGTGGAGCAACATAAAGCTCAGAAGTGTCACATTACAGGGGCTCGTACCAACGTTGTCAGTTCCTTTTAGAGGCCAGGGAAGCCTTGTAAGGGTAATAACTGCTCCTCGTCAATTATTCACTCTTCACCTTTAGGTAAATTACTTAGGACAATGTTTCCAGCTAGTCTAAATGGTCTGATTACCAGAGGTACTGAACATCAGGACCTGGCATGAATTTGCATTGACTTATTTGTAGTTGCTCTTCATCTCAGAAAATCACACCGCTAATTTTGGTGCTTAACTATGGATTTATCTGGTCAGTTCTAGGCAACTGGTTTGGAAATGTGTGCCAGGAGCTCTCCGTGCATTGGTTTTCCTATCCGTAATATAGGATTACAGATAGGAAAATCTCCTCTGCCTCAGGGAGATATTGTGAATTTTAAGTCATTAATGTTTGTGAAATGCTCTGGGATAATGAGATGGGCATGCTTTAGCCTATTAGAACTATTTTTCTCAGCGTGAATTCATGCCTTTCAGCCTAACACAAAATATGGTGGATCTCTCTGTTTTTCTGCCTGACTAGAATTTACAACAAAACCTTAAACCAGGCAAGTGTTAGGTGGCTTAGTATTTTACCATCCTCTTTTGCATTTAATATTCAGCATTACAAATGCTGCAGCAGAATAACATAGTCTGAGAGATCTAGAGATGAGAGAGAAAACAGTGAAGAATTATACGATGAACATCAGTAGGAAAATATTGAGGTAAACCATAATTTGCTGTGGTCTTTCAGAAGCTGCTCCCACATCCCACTAACCTAATCAAGCAGTCTTATCCTGACAGTTTACTATATACCCAGAAATAAGAAGTGGAAATGTTTGTTTGGGGAGGATGTGTTTGTGGGTGTTTTCAGGACGTAAGAAAAAGGTCAGGTGTTTTGAGGTTATGCTGTGTAGGATGACATAAGCGACAATTCGTAGGGCAAAGAGGTGGCAAGAGAGATTGACCATAGAAAGATACTACTGTGTAGACTTGGAGATCTGGCTGGAATTACTGAAGTTTTCTCCAGCACAAGCTGTTTCTTTAGATAAAGAAACAACTCATTTCCTTAGCTTATGAAAAACAGATTGTTTTCCATACTGTTTTTGGTGTTTATTTTGGTCTGCTATAAGAAGCACATTACAAACACAATGTTAGCAGCAGTTTAAAACCCAATGGAAACAACATGGATATATATGATGGAAATGGCAAGAGGTCAGCTGAAAATTATAAAATCATGTTGGGCTTGAGTTTTCACTCTGGCATACCTCTAGATAGCTTTAAATTGTGTTGGCTAAAGGCAGGCCCACTGATGGGGGAAGAAGGCTGTGCCTCGGGGCCTAGCAATTCAAAAGGGGTTGAGGCTCCAGGCTGCTGCTACTGCTGTAGCAGGAGAACCCAGTGGTTTGGGTCCTTTGAATCACTACTGGAGCACCATTCAGTGTGCTCCCAGTGACTGAAGGCTGGGAGGGAGGCATAATAGTCTGGCTGGCTCTGAGAGCTGGCTACCTCTGGCTCCACCCTTCCACCTGAGTCTCCACTCCTTCTGGAAGCATGGAACTGGCCCTCACCGCACCCAGAGAGCTGGAGTCACATCCTGATCATTCTCCATCCTCCCTCCCTGGACTTTGCTTGGTGTCTGAATGAATCTGTTGTGAAGAACAGAGGAGCCTGCACCATAAAATATACTTTCTTCATTTAGGGCTAGCTTGTGCGTTACAAATTAATGCTGCACAAGCACTGGCCTGTAGGTGCCCTAACCCAAGAGAAATCCAACAAATTGTCTCTGTTTCTGCTTCTGCTTTCAGATGTTAGTAATTGGCTACTGGCACCTCACCAGGTGATTGGTCTGTTTGGAATTAAGCTACAGCTCCACCCATTTCCTATCCCTCTCTGTCTGCTCCTCAGATATCTGCAAAGGGAGAAGTACCATGCACACAGTTCCCAGGCTGTTCCTTGCACCAATGAGATACAAGAAGGTTACACTGGGGAATGTGGGTTTCATTCCCCTTTTGCTCCTGCATGGGCCAGGCTAACACTCCACTTGTTTAGTTTCATATTTCTCACAATGTTCATTTGATATTCTTTTGTCATTTGTGCAAGCAGTGAAGCTCCAGTAATATAAGACCTCACTACAGCCTTCTGCTATTCAATATTTCCCTGGAGAAGTGGAGCAAGGCTGCTACTTTGCATAAAAAGTACAGTTTGTGCCATTAGCTCAGTGAGAACTGGAGACCTTTTCTTGTAAATTACAGAAAAATTGTGTTCTATGTCTTCTCTAATGAACCTCATGGTGACAATACAAAATATAGTGGATATAATATAGAAATGAAATTTGCCTGAATTGGTCTGTTTCCCAGAACAGGGTGAGAAACAATCTTCTTGCCCTGAGAATATTTTTGAGAGTTTGAAAATAATCACCATCCTGAATGGGGCTGAAAACTCAAAATCTCAAAGATATTTGAACATTTATTTTTTTAAAAATATTGGTTCATTTCAATTGAAACATTTTGCTTCAGTGATTTGTAAACAATGTTTTGCTTTGATTTCATGTATTCTTTTTTAATCTATTTTGGTCTAGTAAGAGTAAATTTTTAACCAGAATGTTTTATTTTTGTTGTGTTTCAAAAAAGATTAAATGGAATGTTTTGACAGTGTTCTTACTTTTTTTTCCAACATTTTTCAAGCCAGGAGATTTGCTGAGACAGCCCCAGACTTGTGAATAGTTTTGTGGTCAATACATCAGTGGTAATTTGATGGAAAATAAGTCATCAAACAATTCCTGACCAAATAATTTCCATATAAATAGTGCTTTTCAGTGAGCAGAAATACAGAATGTAAAGACATAATACATCAGACACACTCTCAGATACTGTGATGCATGAAATGGATTATCATGATGTTTACATCCTGAGCAAAAAGCTGAATTTAAACAAAGGCAAACACATCACCAGCTTCTGATTCTATCCAGCACCAGCATTACCTTAATGTAACTCCATTAGCTTTGGTACTTGTATACAAGTAGAGGATTAGGCCCTTGTTGCATTAAAATAAGAATGAAATCTTTCTTTCACCATATAAAACTTTAAATATAAAAAGTGACATCTTTAACCAGATAGTTTTGGTTAGTGTGCAATACCAAATATTTCAGGATTATTTTCAAAGAGGCCAGCAACAACAAAATCACCTTCCGCTCTCACGTGACATGACCCATGACTACATAGGAAAGTAAAACCCTGACTTGTACTTTTCTTGCAAATCTCATCACACTCCTCACCTTTTCCCTGTTGGGTAAAACCTGGAGCAGGACTTGCCATCCCAAGCACAGTAAGGATCTCTGGCCAGGCAGCAGTCAGCACAGGCTGTTCCATAGATGTGGCAGCGATGCAAAGATACCTGGGTGATCCCTTCCTCCGAACTCACATATAACTGTTGCTGTGGAAGGCAATGGGAAGATTTATTTCAGATGTGGAGCCTAGAGGAGGAGCTTCACTCAGGAACTTAGCTCACACATGCATAAAGCCTTCAATTCATTTTGGAATTAACCACAGCCCAAGAGGTGATCCACTAAAGTGTTCAAAACCAAAATAAATAGAAATCTCCCAGGTTAATGTGCCTACAAAATTACCACCACCTGTTAGAATACTATATGCTATGGAGAATGCTAATGGTTTATTAGCTATCGAGTCTCATTTTTTTCTCCTGCACCAGAAGGTCTGAATTGATATAGTTCAGATTTGAGGGCTTGGGTCTTACTGAGTGAAGATTACTGAATCAAGCCTTCGAGCTAAGTAACTTCTCTGCAAACAAGTCTCCCTAAGAAATATTTTGCAAAGCTTCTAGCTAGATTTCTCCAAGGCAGAGATTCCAGAAACAGAAAAATGAGTAGTCACTATGGACCAGATTCTGAGAGTCTTACCTTCAATAAAACCTTAGTCCATGTCAATGGGGCCACTGGAGTCAATGAGAACACTCATAGAGTAAGAATCATTCAAGGGGATTGAAGCCATCAGAATCTGGAGCCAAATGATGGGTTCTAGCCAAAAGCCAGTTCTATAGAATTTCTTAACACAATGATAAATCTGGATCTAAACTGGGGTGCCTCCGTCACAGTGCTGGCAAATTTCACTGAGTTTAATTTCAGTACATTTCAATTATTTGAATGAAGAATTTTAGCTATGTTTTATTTTGGTTGTGCAGTCACATAACTAGGCCCCTTGATGAAAGAGTGGATGCAGGGGTAACTGCCCCAGAGCCCACTAATTCAAAGGAGCATGGAGCTCCTGGCTGCTACCACTGCTATTGAGTCCATGGCGGTGGCCGGAGCACCTGGTCCTTTAAATTGCTACCTGAGCCCCATGTGGTGCACTCTGCAGTGCTGAGGGCAGCCTGGGGAAGGCACAGCAAACTCCAGGCACAGCTAAGGACTGCCTGGAAGAGGCTAGCCTCAGTCCCACCCTTCCGCCTGAGCTACACCTCCCTCACCCCTGCACCTTGCCCAGTTCCATGGCTAGTCTGTCGGCTCCACTGCATACAACTCTTATGATCATCATCACTGTATCAGTGATTCATTTCCAAATATCCATTATGAATTCGCTTGAAAGACACGAGCTCATCATGAGCCTCCTACCACCTTTCTTACGCTCCCGAGGAGACGAATGAATAATTCAGACAAGTAGCTTCTGTCTATAGATTGTGGTGTAATTGGTTATAGGGTACATTTTTGTTCCCTAATTGGACTGTTGACACTTTTTATCAAGTGCAAATAACTAATACTGAACAATGTGCTAGTGGATTTTGTCCTGCGTTAGCCAGTGCAGATTGGGAGTCAACGGTACTACACTGAAGATCTTTGTGTCCCTATTGAGTATGGTGCATCATAGGTAGCCTTTTAGCACCTTATGTTAATTCTTTCTTCAAGTAATAACCACTGAATGAGTGTTTCCCTTTTCTTTACCTTTTTAGATGAAATCTTCATTGTTGTTATGGGAGCATTATTCTGAAAGACAAATGACATTTATATGCTTTCTTTATTTATAATGCCATGACATTACATTTTTAGCATTATGTAAGCCACAATCATTTTTAGATAAACCATTCTTTACCAGACTCTTGATGGGGTGTCATCCACACCTAATCATCTTTTGTCACAACTCAACAAATATGACATCAACACAAAGCTGGAGTCAGTAAATATATTGGCTACATGAACCTCTGGACTTGACTCAGACACATTAACAAGTTCTCTCACACTTCTGGCTGATCTGCTCTTAAGAGCTGCCTTCTCACTTCAGATAGGCAGCATGTGTTTTCGAACCATCACTCTCTCCTCGTAAGGCACAGCCTTTGTTCTTGGAGGCGACAGCATGCAGGAATCATGTAACAGCTCATACGTAATTAGCACATGATCCGGACTAGGAGAATTAATATTTTTTCTACACTGTATCTATGATACATACACTTTGGTTACTGTCCAACACATGGCTTTAGATTATCAACAAGAAATGCCAACATTACAAATGACGTGTTGTGTTACTGATTTTTTGGTTTTGCTCAGTGTACGCTGCTCACTACTGTATGTAGTTTTCAATATCTTTCATTATCTGTGTCAAACTGAATGGTAAAGAACGCCCGCTAGAGTTATTACATCCACTGCTTTAAACCAATGAAACAATCCATTATTCTCATCAGATTTAATGGCACTGCTGCTGGCAACAGTAATGGTAATCATTATTTAGAGGATCGAGGATCTTCTACAGCAGTGGTGGGCAAAGCAGCCAACAGTCTATTTGTTTACTTTTGTCCACATGCAGGGTTGCCAGATTCCACTGATTTCCATACATATAGCTTTTTTCCTACCAAGCATAGTTAGCAAAACTACCCTATCCTAGAAAACCGTCTCTGTCATGACAATTTTGTGTCCCACTGAGATGAAGGAGGCCCACTCATGCAACCCAGTCATTAGCCTAGGTTGCCCATCACTGTTCTATAGTAATCTCAGGAACTGAATGATACTGTGGTACATCAGGATTAAAGCACAGCACACCAGAAGAGCTATGGGAAAGCCCAGGGCTGGAATACCAAGTGGATGTGCAGAGATTGGAGAGAGCACAGAACTGGGACTGTAGGGTTATAGCACTGCAGCACTGAGTGCGTTGGAACTGCAATATTTGAGTTCAATTCCATTTTTCACCACAGGCTTCCTGTGTGGCTTTGGGCAACTCTGTTTTTCTGGGCCTCATTTTCCCTTCTGTAAAATGGGAGTAATAATATTTCTCTACCTCACTGAGATGCGAAGAGGACTGATACAGAAACCATTATGGAGTGTTCAGATACTACTGTGGTGGGGAACATAAATATCTGCAGTGAAGATTAGTGCATTAGCAGGTGTCAGGGCTCAGGTCTGGAGCAGTAAAAGTTTGGTAGATGAAAAATGATTTATACTGTAGTTGTAAGGGGCAAATGGCTAGATTAATAAGACTGTGGCTGCCAGTTCATGTGTAATGGGTAGTAAATTTGCAGATGTCAGTGTGTGGGAAGTACAAAGTGCCTGTTCCCTCCTTCCTTTGAACCATTCTATCAGCGTCTCATTTTCACAACCACCAAAGTATATCAAAATGTCCCCAATTTGTGACTGCAGTGCTCTTCTGGGGCTTTCTGTCTCTTCTGCTGCCTCGTCTGTCACTGCAATCTGTCAAATGCCACCTTGGGTCTCAGATTCCACTTTCCCTCTCAGAGCTACTTTTCAAAGAGAAAATACTTGACAGCATTACCACATTTTACTTTGGGGATGCCTTTATTAAGTATGAACCTATGTGAGCCTTGTCCCCTCTATTTCTGATAGTCATTAGGAAAGCCCCAGTACAACTACCTATGTTTGGAGCCCAGAGCATATGCTGCAATGCTCTGGAGGGCTCAGAATGCAATGTTGTGTGATGAGAAGGCCAAGCAGTGGACCAAGAATAATGGCCCTGGATTCTCTCCCGGGGTTTGGTACAGACTTCCCATCAGCCCTTGCTTTCCCTGCCTAATTTTCCCTACCCTGGTGAACAAGCCCCATAAAATACTATTCATATGCACTTTTTGGGAAAAAATAGTCTCTGTTTCCCACATAAGGAATAACAAGACTATTTAAGTATATAGGCAACTCATCCTGGGATCCTGGGGTACAAATGGACTGCAACCAGGAATGGGTCCGTGTAGGGGTTTCCCCCTTGTGCGGAGGGGCTTACGTCCGCCCCCCTCAGTTTCTCCGTCGTTAGCGCCTCGAAGTGGCCGACTTCGCTTGGTTCCGTTAGGCGGTTGGGGGAAGGGGGTCCGGGCCCGCCCTCGCTCCGGACCCCAGCCCAGGGCCCTAAGGTCGGGGAAAGACTCCCCACCTAGCAGGGGGGGTTGAGACCCCTAAACTCCCCTGCTCTCGGGGTACACGTCCCCGCCCTGGGCCACTTCTTCCCCCACGTCAGCACGTCCCGTCCCCAGGCTCCTGCCCTGATCTGGCCCAGGGTCGCCAATACCTGGGTCCGTGTGCTCGCTCCCAGGGGAGGTCCGTCTCCTCGGCATCCTCCCTTCTTGCTGGGTCGTTGCAGCCTTTTGAATTACCCACTGGTCGCAGGCAGATGACGTCAGTCCCTTCGTCATCCACCGGCCCCCTCTCGGGCCGGCCTCCCTGTGACGTCACCTGCCCCGCCTCCTCCTCCCCCTGCCCTCTGACGTTGCCGCTTGCCGGCCCCGGCTCGGCATACGGCCAGTGCGCCACGCC